GCAGCCCCAGGGCACCCAACACCAATTACCAACCTAGACCCCAGAGGACAATACTTCAGCACTAAGGGGACAGAGGCAGACAGGCACTGTTGAAGGAAAGCAAGTAGGTTAAAGAGGCTGGTACCTGTCAGATGGTGACAGCCCTCCAAAGTCCAAGGTCTCATCCGCTATGAACTTTACATCTGTAGGGGAGGAAGGAAGGAATGCCAGCCTCGGGTCCCTAACGCCGTTCTCAATCGCAGCGCCTTACCCCTCCCTCCTTACTTTCCTTACCTTCCTCTAAATCTTCCATGTTCCAGCCAGCAGGTGCACGAGTCAGATTAGACCTGAGCTGGAGACAGAATACACCTTTCTTCAGGTCTCCATCCTGCCCAAGGCCCCCAGCTAAACGCAGGGTGCAAGCCAGGGGATGAGGATCATGCTGGAGATAAAGCAAGGGTCCCAGGGGTAGCACCTGCCCCTGTAAGTAGCCCTGTGAACTCCGGGGAAGGTGCCGAGAAAGCACCATCCCCCTCCTCAGGTTGCCCTGCCGCCCCCCTACAACCTGGGCTCTTCTCACCGGGGGCGGTCTGCGCGCCCCATCTTCTTCCCCGCCACCATCCTCCGGTTCTCTCTTTCCCCAAACTACCTTTCCACTCACACGGCACCACACCCACACCACACCTCCAGCCCACCCTCTGTTTTTTCTTTCCGCCCCGCCTCACCTCTCGCAGAAAGCACTTGCCTCCTACCACTTAGTCCCGGGAATCAGCCCTGAGGGGGTGGGGCTCCTTTCGAATCTCTCAGGCCCCACCCACTCTCACCACATGCGCTCCGTGATTGGTGGTTCCCAACATCCCTGCCCTCAGGGGCGGGGCGGCATCGACCAGCCGGCCGGAAGTCTGCAGGTGGGGGCTGTGTGGAGAGCGGTTCTAAAACAGACTTCATCCGGTGGGCTAAGGCGGGGAGGCCGCCTGCGCGCGCGTGTGTCCGGGAGACTTTCCTTGGAGGAGGCGGGGCCTCGTGGCGGCGTGCGAGGGACCTGACCAATGACTGTACGTTTCTCACCCTGCCAGCTGGGCGGAGCCGGGCTCCCCGCTGGACCTCCGAGCGCCAGTCACCCTAGACCCAACGCTCCTCTTGAGGAATTTTGTTTTCAGGGGCTTACTCCGTTTGCGAGCACCGCGTTTGCCATGTTTCCTCATTTGTGATTTTTTCAATTTATGGAAGCACCTAGACATTTATATTTTAGGTATATTGAGGTTCTCTAAGAAGTACAGCCTCCGTTATCTTTTTTTTTAATATATACAAGTTAGCATATAGTGTAATAATGGTTTCAGGAGTAGAATTTATCGATTCATCACGTACATATAACACCCAGGGCTCATCCTAACAAGTGCCCTCCTCAATGCCCATCACCCATTTAGCCCATCCTCCCCTCAACCCAACACCCCTCCAGCAACCCTCAGTTTGTTCTCCATATTTAAGAGTCTCTTGGTTTGCCTCCCTCTGTTTTTATCTTATTTTTCCTTCCTTTACCATATGTTCATCTGTTTTGTTTTTTAAATTCCACATTTGAGTGAAAGCATACATTTGCCTTTCTCTGACTGAATAATTTTGCTTAGCACAATACATTCTTGTTCCATCCACGTTGTTGCTAAAATGTCAAGATTTCATTCTTTTTGATCGCGGAGTAATATTCCATTGTGTATATATACACCATATCTTCTTTATCCATTCACTAGTTTGGTATATTGAGGTTCTCTAAGAAGTACATCTTCCATCATTATTTTAAGAGAACATTCAGAACCGGCGGTAAACAGGGTTTTTGGACACGGAGATTTAGGTCCAATTCAGCCGTGACTCCTCTGTCACAAGGCAGGCAGGCTTGAGTGTATTTGACCTCTCGCTTATCTGCAGAGCAAGAACCCTGACGGTCAGTCATGGTTTCATGGCTAGAACTACCAGAGTCAAGTTTATACCTTGTGCCTTAGGGGCTTTTGAGGGGTGTTTGTAACTTGCTACCTCTAAACTAAAAGCTGTGTTTGTGAAGTGCTTAAGCCTACTTATTAGAGATCTTTTTGTTGTTTCCAAGTGTTGCCTGTGAATAGGCTGGGGCCACCAGTTAACAGGGCTTCTTAGAAATGTTCTAAAAATTTAAAACAATGGCTGGAGAACTTTAGTCTCCAGAGTTTATGACCATTCTTTTGGCTATTTAGAGGCTTTTTTTGTTGTTGTTGTTTGTTTACTTTCTAGTTTTTAGCTGTGAAGCTGAGGTGATGAGGTTTGCAGGCACGAGATGTTACTGTAAGAAATGCCACAGCAAGCAAAGAAGCCTTGGGGTTTAGTGGGGGCACCAAGGCAAAGGGCGGGGGGGGGGGGTGGCAGAACTTGCAGGCTTGTGTGAAGAAGAACTGGGAGAAGAGGATTGCCTGGTTTTCTGTAGGCTTGTTGGTGAGGGTGGAATTTTGGTTGTTTGTAGGATTCAGGTTCTGTGGAGGTGGGAAGACCAGAGCCAGTAGTTTCCCTCTCTCCAGGCAAGTGGTGACAAAGTGAGGAATGAAGGGAAAGAAGCTGCTCATTAACTGCATTCCTGCTGGGCCGAGGAGCAGCCTGACTGGGGAAACCCCGCCCTTGCTTCTTCCCAACCTCAGGGGAGTGGGGACGCAGTTGTAGCAAATTGGAAGTTAGTTCCTCCTATGGAAACTCCTCTCCAATTTCCTGTCACCCAGTTATGATTTTGAAAGCTGTTGCAGTACCAGAAAAAAAGCAATTGAACTACTTTCTCCTCCATCAGAATAACAACAAAACCAGAAAATACAGATTTCAGGCACAAGAATTCTTTACTCAGCCTAAGGCCACTAACCTGGGAATTATTTGTCCCCCTCAGCCCAACCCCTAAAATGACATCTATGAACAGATGTTCAAGATTTTGGATAAACAGACGAATTAATGAAGAGATTACACCCCCTCCCTGGCACGTAGTAGACCTTACTTCAGAAGGAACTCCCATAAATGACAAAATTAAGGATTCCAGTACAGTTCTTCTTGAATGTGGGAAGATTAACTATGACTGGAAGTCTTGTTCAGCGTGAAGATTTTATTCCTTCACCGTGAAGGTTCAGCATATAGGAACCTTGAGTACTTTGATAGCAGAGGCATGGGGCGGTGGGCTGAGGCCAGAGGTCTAACTGATCCTTAGGGCATCGTAGCTGGGTGTATTCCACTCCTTCCTGACCCCGGCCCTGCTTCAGCTGAAGGGAGGCCTCCTGGCCATTGTGTCCCTGACTAGCTGGCTCTGGACTCTGGTCCCCCTCTCTCCCCAACCTGGCAGTTGCAGCAAGGGGTCCCGCAAGGGCATTTGACCGTACAAATAATTTGTGTGGCTAGTTTCTCAGTTTTCCCAAGATGCTACATAACTAGTGACATTCTGGATGCGTGGAAAAAGTTAATTATGACATATAATGGATGCCTTGGGGGGCATTGGGGCATTCTCATAGTGCTCCAGTTGAGAAAGGCTGGAATAGACATTTGCCTCAGCTGAAAATAGACCTTTGGTGTGAACAGAAAAGCCTGTCTCATTTTTCTCAGCCGAAACACACCCTCCTCCTCTTCAAAGCCTTGCCTAAGATTTACTGCCTCCTAGCGGTCTTTTCTTTCTTACAACCCATGATCCCACCCCCAGACCTGCTACAGTTGAGCGTCGCTTGGGTGAAAGAGATGAGAGGAAAGAGAGAAAGCCTGAAGTCAGGCAGACCTGGTTCCAATCCTAGCTCTGCTAACTTACCAGCTTCGTGACTTGGAGCAGCTTATGAACTTCAACTTCCCCATTTGGAAAATAGAGATTAAAAGTGATAAAGCCTGACGTTCAGTGTCTGATGTCAGGAAGACTATTTCAGTTACATGCTACTGTGTAACAAACCACCCTAGTATTTCGGGCTTGAAACCCCAGATCTCATGATTTTACAGTTTGATTTTACAGACAGTCGTGCTAGGAGGACCTGTCTCTACTCCATGACCTCTCTACTCCAGTCCCAGTGGATTGGACTTGACTAGCGCTGAAAGGTCTCAGGCAGCCACACGTATCTAGGGCTATGGTGCTGGCTGTCAGCTGGGATGCTGGGTTGTCCTGCATGTGGCCTCTCATAATTTGGAAATCTGTCCTGAGATTCAACTACTAGACCTCTTAAGGTCTAGGCCCAGACTGGCACAGCATCACCTCCACTACATTCTTTTGGTTAAAGCAGGTCACATGGTCAGCCCAGATGCGAGGGGAGGGGAACAGACCCCAACTCTTTGGGAAGAGCACGATGCCCTTGCTAGCCAAGATGGGGGGAACTGTTGCTGTCTTTTGCAGATGCCATTACAGAATGGCTTTAATATCTTACTTGTTATGAGAATGAAAGCAAACATGTAAGCAAGAGCACCTCACCTTTATTCTTTCCCCAAGGCTTAGTGAGACTCTGCTCCAATTTCTTCAGTGTCTCCCAGCCCTCAAGTCTTAGTGCTTGGTCTTTAATTAGCTATGTACGTATATGTGTGTTCTGCTGTCTGCGTCTCTGTGATGGATGTGCATCCTCTTTTCCAACTTATACTGGAAAGATCAGAGAGGAAGAGACCAAGTCATATTCAGCACCTCTTTCAGCACCAGGCACAGGATAGAGTTGAACTTAGCTCTGTCATCGACTCTAAACAAAAGGACAGTGTTAGAAACCTCTGTGGAAGAGAATGTGGATATAAGAAGAAAGAGGAGGGGGCCAGTGGGTGGCTCAGTCAGTTAAGTGTCTAACTCTTAATTTCAGCTCAGGTCACGATCTCACAATTGGTGATAGCGAGCCCCGTGCCGGGTTCTCTGCTGACAGTGCAGAGCCTGCTTGAGATTCTCTCTCTTTCTCTCTCTCTGCCCCTCCCCTATCTGCACATACACACTCTCTCTCAATAAACAGACAAACAATTTTAAAAAACGGATTCCAACTTTCTAAATGGGTTTCCCATATAGAAAGGCTCAAACAGCTGGACACTTATGCACCAAGGATCCATACGTTTATTTAGATTAGTCCAAAGCAGATGTTGTGCTGGAGCTGCTTAAGGACACAATCTCCCCACAGTCAGGCTTCCTGGAGGCACAGAAAAGAGAGGGTATGTTGTGGCTCTAACAGCAAACAACCAGTGCACACCCAAGACGCTGAGGCAATTCTCCTCACGGTCCCTGGGTCCCGTGCTATGAATTCTCTCCTTACCCTGCTTTGTTGCTGTGTGCTGGCTGAGAGAGAGGTAACAGGGCAAGTCCCAACACAATATAACATTAACACAGAGAGGGAACTAAGGCATGGCCAGAGAGCTATCTTTGCAAGCCAACTGGCAGAGAGAGCTCTCTTGAGAAATCTGGACCTTTAATGTGTCCCTGAGGGTTTCCATTTGATCTATATCAATGATGGGCTCAAATAAATGGCATCTGGGATGGTGTTCATTCTGTTTTCGTCAGCCAGGAACTGCAAGTCCCAGGAGACATTGGGAACTGGTTCTCCCTAATTCTCCCATGAGCTGCTCTTTCACCCCACTCATTAGTTCATGCACAGCATTTCTACTGTGAGTGATTTAGAATCTGAAGAAGCTATCACATTTTAAACGATGATCTGAGTTGTCCTTTGCCAGTAATGTGCTGCTTGGGACCACATACCCACATGTTCAATTATTACTGACCTATGATGATAATGGTGGTTTTCTTCTCTCAGAAGGGAAGGAGTCCACAAACTTCAAAGTAAAAAACAAGCAAATGAATCTGTTTCTTACCATGCTTATGACACGGCGGTAGAAACAGTTAGCAGGAGCAGCTTCCTGTCTCTTTTTCCACGCTGCTGCCGCTTGGTGGTGGTGACCCACCTCTACTCCTCTACTCTACTGGCTGTTCCCTTGATGCCTTTTCTCATAGCACCTGCCCACCTCCCTTCCACTGAGCCCCCTTACACTCGGATAGATGCTATCACTCCTTTCCCGAGGACCATTAGATTTAATACCTATCAACACTTTGAGTACAGAAAGAGGACATGACAAAAGTAGTACCAACTATGGTAAAGTCCTTCCATGGAGATGATAGTATTAGCTTACAAAAAAAAGTGGTTAAAAGGAAAATAGTTATCAATGACTGCATGGTCGAAAGGCTTAGTTAGGAATACAGATATGTATTCAGATCTGTATTCTGTATACAGATATGTATTCCTAACTAACACTAACAGATTCAACACTAACTGTAAATACAAAATGCTCTATTCAGAAGCCCAGTCCCTCTCCTTACCTTTGTCAGAGTTGCCCTAATCTTCTTTGGAGGCCTCAGTGAGGAGCTGCAAGAATTCAGACATTTCTCAGAGTTAGCATCTCAGAAATTTCTGGGAAACCTTCTTTTTTTAAAAAAATTTTTTTAACGTTTATTTATTTTTGAGACAGAGAGAGATAGAGCATGAATGGGGTGGGTCAGAGAGAGAGGGAGACACAGAATCTGAAACAGGCTCCAGGCTCTGAGCTGTCAGCACAGAGCCCGACGCGGGGCTCGAACCCACAAATTGCGAGAACGTGACCTGAGCTGAAGTCGGACGCTTAGCCGACTGAGCCACCCAGGCGCCCCTAAATTTCTGGGAAACCTTCTTGTGGGGCATTGGGAAGGAATATACTTCTCATGTTTTTTGAGAGTTCATTATGTAATTAGGAGTCTACACATGGGGAAGAATAGGGCACATAATGGCCCATTCATTCCTGATTCATGCTATGCACACTTAGAGAGTGCCCACTGTGTCAGAAACTGGGCTCATCACCAGGGGGACAAGTGTGAATCAGTCTGTACCTGCCCTCACAGTGCTCATGGATTAAATGAGAAACAAATCAGTAAGTAGGCACTTATATAACAATATGTTAAATGCTGTGATGGAGATCTGAACAAGGTGACAGGCAGAGATAAATGAATGAATACTTTAAAAGAGGTATGGGGGCAGGGGCGGTGCCTGGGCAGCTCAGCTGGTTAAGTGTCTGATTCTTGATTTGGGTTCAGGTCATGATCTCATGATCCTGAGATCAAGCCCCAAAAGGGGCTTTGCGCTGAGCCTGGAGCCTGCTTGGGATTCTCTCTCTCTCTGCTTCCTGGACTGGGCCAAAGACTGTATAAAAGAAAAACGGTCTGAGTAAGGAACGGCTTGGGCTCTTTCCACCACAGTGCTGAATCCTCACTTAACCAATACTGGGAATCTTGGGGGGAGCTGATCACCACCTTGTGCTTCAGGTTTCTACTTTGCAGAATAGAAATAGCCATTCTTTCTATATTACAGAATTGTGCTGGAGAGAAATAAGATATTGGATAATAAAAACGGCCCCTCAAATACATCCTGATGATGACGGTGCCCAGTGCCGAGAGCACGTGAAGGGGAAGCCAACCAAGCCCTTCTCCATGCAGGCTTGTGGCTCTGCCCCTGAATTTTCCAGCTGTGGAGAGAGGGTATGAGTTCTGCCCTTACCTCTCACATCCACCCGACAGTCCACAGATGCCTCCCCCAGGGGGTTAACTGCCTTGCAGGTGTAGATACCCCCATCAAAGGGACCAGGCTTGCGGATTTCGAGAGAGCAGATTCCCAGGTGAGTGAGGGCTCGGTACTTGGGGTTGCCTTGGATATCCATCTTGTTCTTCAGCCAGATGATCTTTGGCTGCAAGATAAAGGTGAGGGGGCCAGCATGGGAGCGGTGAGAAAGTTGCCCATTCCTTACGTTGGGGGAGGGGTTCCCTTACTGGTATCCTCAAAATCCTCCCAGGCTCCTTCTGTTGGTTGAAATGAGCACCTGAAACCTTGCCTTGTTCATCAAGTATTCCTGAGTAGAAAAAAGGTAGGACCTTCTGTTCTTTCCCCTTCCTAAGCACCGGGCCTCAGAATCCCCTCTTTTTTGTATGTTCGTTGTTGAATCATTCATATTCTGTTCCCACTGTTGGCTAGGGAGTCACTGTTGTCCCCTCTGGTTAGAAAGTAGTTTCTAGAGTGGGCTTATTGATACCCTCTTTCTGAGATGTAGTACTCTGGCCCAGGACTCCTATGCAAAAGGTACTTGGTAAGGTTGTTAGGTTTTTTAAAATTTTATTTTAATGTTTATTTATTCTTGAGAGAGAGAGACAGAGAGAGAGAGAGAGAGAGAGAGAGAGAGAGAGAGTCTCTGCTCAGGGGATGGACAGAGAGAGAGGGAGACACAGAATCCGAAGCAGGCTCCAGGCTCCGAGCTGTCAGCACAGAGCCTGATGTGGGGCTCGAATTCACGAACCGCGAGATCATGACCTGAGCTGAAGTCAGACGCTTACTGACTAAGCCACCCAGGCGCCCCCTTGGTAAGGTTGTTAGTGATGTTTTACGCGGTGTAGTGTACAGAAGTAGTGACTAGATCGGAAGTAGACTTGCTCAGGGTTATGGCCTCAACTCTAGACAGCTGGTAGGCATATGGCCCTGAGCAGGTGAGGCGTGGTGGGTGACTAAGGAGAAACCAGCGGGACTCCATCACCTCTGCCAGAGAGACAACTTGAAGCTCATGCCCAACTGCCAGCAGATCGGCAAGTGATCTTCGCAGAAGAGGAGCAGACACTAAAAGGAAAACTGGAAACATCATCCACGTCAGCCTGTCTTGGACTCTAAGTGCCCTGGCTGTTCCTAACCTACGTAACCTGCAGTGGAAGAGGCAGGCGATGGTGATGGGAACACATGTTTTAGAATGCTCTCCCACGTAGCAGAGGTGAGGGCAGGAGCAGGGAGCAGCACAGCACGGCCACCATGCAGAACTCCTGCTTACCTTGGGAGAGGCGCGGACGCAGCAGAAGAGCTGGGTGTCATAGCCCATGACCGTGGTGCAGTCTGCCAGAGGCTGGGTGAACTTTGGGGCTTCAGAGAAATCTCGCTGTGCAAACCCCCCAGTCTTGCGAAGGGTAGCTGAGGAGACCGAGAAGGGCCCTGCTGTAGTGCCTGAGATCCCCCACCCTTCTTCAACTCTCCACCCTCCACCCTTCCCAGCTCCGAGTCTCTGCGCCCCACCTGCTTTCTGGATGTGGGCAAGGTCAGCAGTGATGGGGGCTGTCTCACTGAGCCCGCACTGGTTCTCAGCAAAGACTCGAAATGCATAGGAGTTGCCCACGATGAGGTTGGAGACTGTGAAGCTGGTGCGGTGATAACGTTCCAGCACCGTGAACCACAGCTTTGGGGGCCCAAGAAGATGCCGTGAATGAGATGCCTGTTTTGTGAACTCACTCCACCTCGGCTCACCGCATGGAGGTAGCAGAGCCCCATTCCAGAACGTGTGATTGCTCCCTCCCCACTCCCTCCCTAGCTGCGCCTCACCCCAGATTTTGTGTCAGCCTTCTGCACGGTGTATCCGAGGAGTGCCGTGTTGCCTGTGTCTTGGGGAGGTGTCCACTCCAGAGTAGCATTGGAGCCCCAAACATCCACCAACTTGATACTCTGAGGAGGGCCTGGCCTCTCTGAAAGGGCCAAGCATGGCAGTGGGCAGGGTATGGCTCACATATGCATGGGAATCACTTCGGGGTGCCCTTCCCCTTCTCTGCTCAGCTATGCCCCCCCTCACCCACCACTGTGCCCCACACTCGGTGTGGGGAGTCACCCTGGCCTCCCCAACTGTCTGTGATGGCTCCTCTAGCCTGAGGACCAACTCGCTCCCACTCCCCCTACTGTACCGATCACCAGGATGTCAATGGTGGCAGTGGCCTCCAGCTCGCCCAGCCGCACGCTGAGCTGGTAGCGACCTGAGTCAGCACGTTGGGCTTCTCGGATGAAGAGGATGGAGTCCCGCTCCCCATTGCGCACACTCACACGGCCGGCATCCAAGGCACAGCCATCATGTGTCCAGGTGGCTTGAGGTTTGGGTTTGCCCTGAGAAATGGGAGTAAGGCGCTGAGCAGCCCCAAGAGACCTCGTGACCCTCCCTGCTGCAGTGGGGACCAGATCCACCCCAGGTCCACATGGTGACTGGACTCGCAACTGTGAATGCCTTGAGTTAGAAGTTCGCACACTGTCCCAGGGGACCTGCATCTTTCAGCAACAGCTGAAAGGATGTGGAGGAAGGAAGGGGTTTGGCTTTGAGTCTCCCGCCCTCTGAGAGTTTAGATCACCCGAGGCAGTTGGGGCTAACAATAGCTGTCTAAACTCCCGAGAACCCTCCAAACTGAGAGCTCCCAGACCTCTGCTGACCAAGGGACAGAGGTTAGCCTCAGCGGGTCACATGGGGGCACGCCCCACCCCATCCCCCCTCAGGAGTGCAGAGGGAAGAGTCGTTCTGCCTCAGACTTCTGGTGACTTGGCCCCGTCCACTCCAGGCCAGGACAACTTCCCTACTGCTAGCAGGACTCTCAGTATCTGTTTCCAAATCAACACCCTGGCCTCGTCCCAGCCTGGACCCAACACGGAGTCAGCACGGGGCCAGCATGCTTACCTGGAATGGGATTAGTAGGTTCACGGTGTCTCCGACCTTCCGGATATAGGTCTGCCTCAGGGCGCGAGGTAGCCAGATCTTGGGGTGCTCTGAATGATAGAAGGAGAGAGAACAGTGGGTGGTGAGCCTCCTGTAGTGGGAGGCGCAGAGCTCAGAGGAGGTGGACACTGCACCCGGCTGTGCTCCATGGGCAGACGCCCCAGGTGCTCGGCAAATCAGTCCTCTCCTAGGGGATGGGAAGATTGCTCCCTTCGTCTCGCTGGAATTTCGGGATGAGTGATTGGCTGAAATATCCTCTGGAGAGCATTCAGGTCTTGGCAGAAAGCACTGGAATGTGAGCCTGACGCTTACTTCTTTTAATTTGTAATGCTCAGCTAGTGACTCTTCATTAACCGAGATTTCCTTTTTCTGTTTGTGCACAGACTGGTCCAGCCTGTGGGGTTTGCCTTTCTACCCCATTTCTGCATTTGTCCTCAACAGCACTCCATTTATCAAAGCCACTTTCAATGTTAGTCTGGACCTCCAAGCGTCAGCCCTGCTTCCCAGTTTGAGGCCACACTGGAGGAGAAAGTTTTCCACTCTGCAGGCAGAGTCAACACCCTGGACCCACCGGGACAGCACTGACGTCACTGAAGAGGGAGCTGGTGTCTGGGTCCCTTCCTCTGCGTGGCTATGCTGCTTGGACGACCTGTGCAATGCTCTTCCAGTTGGTGGAGGATCGCTTTGTACCAACAGACTCTGGGAATCTGGGAAAAACTAGGCCACCCCTCCCTGCTCCTTGATGTTCCAGGCCTGTTCCAGTGAGTCGAGGGATTAGTTTATGTCCCTTGGCTTCCAGGATGGAGGCAGGAGACGCTCAGGAAAAGTGCTGAGTGTGAGGTTTGGAAGACGACCAGGTGTGACCGCTTTCCTCTCCGGATGTCTTGGGCTGCCTCGGCTGAGAAAGTGCAAACATCCCACCTGGTTCCCTTGGGGGCCTGGCTGAGACTGCACCATTTTCTAGCTTTCTCGGGGCTCCTGTCTCCTTCTTCCTCAGGCAGACAGTCGCCTGTTGCTGTTGTCAAAAGTGGAATGTGACAGCGCCTCATTCCTCACTACCTCCCCGGCCTCTCTGCACAATTCTTTTGTGGAGTCGTAAAAAGCCTCACCCAGGTCACTACCGAGGCAAACAGCACCACTGTGTGATAGTGGGCTGTAAACTTTCTGATAACGTAACATTTCCCGAGGATACATTCCTGAGCACTCCACTCCACAGTCTGTGTGTTCACTTACAAATTGAACTGTTTAAATATGTACATTATGCAATGCAAACTTTTGAATGGTGAAATTTAAAATACAGTACGTAGGGGTTCTACTGTGTTCTTCCTACACCTCAATTTGTAGCCCACTGTTTAGAGAGCAGGAAGCTCCTTCCCATGGTCTGCCCTGTCACCACCCCGAGGTCACTTTTTGCCTTTGGAAATAAATATAAACACAGATAGTGCACACTGTCCACTTTTATTTATCTAGTTTCCTTTTTCACTGTGTGGCTTATGTTTCCTCCTGGGCTGTGCTTCTTAGACTGCACCTCACCCACCCCTGTCCCTGGCAAAAGCAGGAACGAAGTGACACGGGGCCTCCTCAGGTGCTCTGAGCAGCTGGCCTGCCTGTGTTGCTCAGGGCCTGGCGCCCCAGTAAGAACAGCAGCGACAGCGATGGAGCCCCAGGCGGCTGGGCGACACTTCTCTGGTTGCCCTCTGTTCGACTTTGGCGGTTTGGAAGGGGGCGGGGCACGAAACACAGAAGAAGCGTTTGTGTGATGTGTTCCTCTCCTGTGGCCCTCTGGCAAGCGACCAAGGAGTTGAGAACGAGCGGATATGACTTAAGGGTTTTCTGAAAAAAAGAGGGTGGCAGTTGAAAAGGAGGGTCAAAACCTCATCTTGTTGGGCTTGGTTCCCTACTGTTGGATGAGGAAATAGCCCTTCACACTTGCTGGAGGGAGGGCTGGAGAGAAGCCGGCTCTTCTGTCCCCTGCTCTGCCTGCATGACGCAGAGGGAGCTTGATGAGCGCCAGGATCAAGAAGACAGGGAGGAAAGGGCTCGGAGAGAGAACCACACTTGTGAAGTTGTGCTGCCTCTCTGTCTAGAAATGTACGTCCAAAGGGCCTGTTCTCTGAGCACAGCATACCTGCCCCCTTACCTGCCCTCCACTGTCCACCTGGGCCTGCGCACCTTGTCAGGGCTCTGACAGTGATCTTGCTCTTAGGAGGAGGTAGCAAAGAGGGGAAGGCAGAGGGATACCCTCAAGAATTGAAAAGGTTGAGGCGAGGAAACCAGCCGTCACACCTGGAAGATATGTTGTCTGAGTCCTGCTCTGCTTAGAGCTCAGGTGGGGAATGGGCTTCTATAGAGGGGTGCATGCCCACTGATCTATTTGTGCCCACTTAGTGCTTCTCTTGTTTCTTAGAGAGATACTTTGGAAGATGTTAGCATTGGTTCACCTGAACTAAGGAGAACAATTACAGAAATAATTTTATGTGGAACATAAATTAAGATGGTGGTATTCATGGGGCTCCTGGGTGGCTCAGTCGGTTAAGTGTCTGACTTCGGCTCAGGTCATGATCTCACGGCTTGTGGGCTCGAGCCCCGCATCGGGCTCTGTGCTGACAGCTCGGAGCCTGGAGCCTGCTTCAGATTCTGTGTCTCCCTCTTACTCTGCCCCTCCCCTGCTTGCAGTCTGCCTCTCTCTCTCTC